CATAAAGACATAAAGATCATACAATCCTCATCAGTAGTGACATTAAAACACATTTTAAGCTTAATATTAAGAAATGTGCATTGTGCACAAGTAGTATTCCAAATAAAGTTTAATTATAACTTTTATATCATTAAGTCTTGAGCAATACATCAGTAAATATGTTAATAGATTTGAACTATACTTAGTATGAAATAAATGTATTTTAAATATATTACTTTTTTACTAGGGATTCAAAGACATTTAAGTTTTAATTTCACATGCCATTCCATTTTTCTTTCTTTTTCTTTTCTTTGTAAATTTACTTGTTGGGCTGGTTTGAAATTCTTCTAAACAAAATTACCAAATACAAAATAATATCAAAGGAGTAGAAATATATAAGTTTACTATATTACAAAAAATGTCTCTGTGACTTTTCTGACAACGACCTCATAGATGTTTGCATTTCTGCACAAATATACCTGAAATTAATTAACAATGCCTATATAACAATAATCACAAATTGTGAAAAATGTTCTCAGCAAAGTGGATATGTGCTTGACAGCTTTGCATACTAAAAAAAATGTGAAGAATGAAAGATGACAAAAATGGAGGAGGAGCATTAAGAGGAAATAAGTGGGCAGGTGAGTGACAGACGAGAAGAGCAACTCGAGAAGCTTATAGAACTACACAAAAGGGATTTTAAAAGACACAGGGAACTAGATTACCACCAGCATCCATTCTGCTAGCGAACAGAAGGACTGTGTGAAGATGTGGAGATTAACATGTGTCATGTTGACCCTGCTCATGTGTGCCAAAGGTAAGGTCTCATGGTACACCTATTAAAGTGAGGATATGCGTGAACAAAGACATTATATAGAAAAAGAGAGAATATATTTTTGCTTTCTTTGTGGCAGAGGGCATAAGAGCAGTCTAAGGGCTATGTTAAAATAATGATGCATTAACATGAAACTTGCAGTTTGGTATCATACTGTATGTTGATTCATATGACTGATTTATCTGACCTGTAACTTCTGGGTTAGTGAGGCATTTTAAACGTTTTATCAAAGAGCCAACTAATAAGTTCATCAGTCAGACTAAACAGGTTGCTGTTTAATCAGATTCACAAATAAATGACTTTTATAAGTCGGTTCTTGTATTTGCATGAAGCATGTGAAGAACGCTGGTGCAGGAAACACTGTTGTGATGTGTCATGTCAGAAATACACTACCAGTCGAAAGTTTGGAAAAATTAAGATTTTTTTTAATGCTTTGGAAAAAGTCTAATGCTCACCAAGGCTGCATTTATTTGATCAAAAACACAGTAAAAACAGAAATATTGTAAAATATGATTACAAATTTAGTTTTA